ATTAATGATTGGTCTTCTATCGGGCTGCCTACGCTGAACGATGGACAGCTGACGACAACAGGCTCTTAGCTCACAAGACGATTAACTTTGACTAGTTGACTGTGTTCTCCTACCTCGGCTGATTCCATTCATACTTCATCTTCTTGAGTTTTCTTTCATCATCTTCACTTTGTCGTGCAACAACAATATTTCTGATTCTACCACCATTCGTCTTGGTCTTTGTGCTTTTTTCGCTTATTATTTGTTTCCTTTTTCCAACCTGTTTTTAGTTTTCTAGGTTTCAGGTTTCTTGCCTTGCTTTTCTTTCTCATAACATTCTACATTCTTTCACACTTTAGTCTGTACAAATTTGTATGGCATGTAAACAAAGACACATCAAATCAAAAAGCAATGAAAGGTGGGCAAATGCAACAGCACAATGGTTATTGATGCCTTCGATTAAAAAGCAAGGGCACTAGTTCGACCTTTCGCTGGCGCCCTCTTAAAATCTCCACGATTGCAACCGATTCGACCAGTATGCTATGACGTTCATGAAGAGGAAGAAATCTTCAAGCAGCAGACGAACCAATAAGCGAAATGTTTGAAGACCACTATAGACGATGAATTCAAGGAAAACCAATCGATTCTCCTCAAGAGGTGAAAGACTTGGTAAGCTAGGGGTAAAAGTTTGAGTCTGACAGTATGTGTATTGCACGTAAGTTCAACCGCTGCACTACACGCGCCCTCAGACAGAGACTCGTGTAGAGGATGTTCACTATTTCGTCTTCATCTTCTCTTTCAGCTTTCTTAGAGCACTTAGAAACAAAGAACTTATGTTATTTCTGCACAAGTGGCTGAAAATTAATGAGTAATTTCTTCGTATAATAGCAGATCTTCAATTATGAAAACATAAAAAGGGTCACCATCATGGCAGAAATTTCTGCCCCTTCCATGTGCATTGGAATCGCAGGAATTGCCAGCTTGCAAAATCATTCGTGTTCTTCTACCTGAGCTTTTACCCATTCTGCTCTCTTTAGTGTTATGAGCTCGATTAGTATTAATTGCAGGAACTCATCCTGCCACATTGCTGGTGTGCTAAAGTTAGTCTTCAATCACCGTATTGTTGCCGTTCACCTTTCAGCTTCGATATTTTGCTAGTATCGTATTGTTTCTACAGTACACTGCGTTGGTCCTTGATTATTCCATGAGAAGGACGTCATGAATTCGCCTCCACTGAGTATCAAAGAAATTTCTGATTGCATATTCGGCTTATCCAATGATTTGCGAGAGTAACTGGCGAGTTATATCAGTGTTTTTATGCTCTCAGACAAGTCTGATACCGATTTAGCGACTTCGGAGCAACGTGTTTTGCTTAGGCTGAAGAACCAAACCAATAACAACGACTGGATAGTAAGGCCCCTCTAGTCACTGCGCTACAAGTAGTTTTAATGCATAATTTCTGTATAAAGGATTAGGTAAACAAGTTCGATGTTCGAACAGAGAAAAACGAGGCCCTGTTTCGCATAGTTCTAAATCATAGTATTTTTCTACTCCCACTTTCTATATTTTCCACACAACGGTTCATCGTGGCTGTGAGGTGTTCCTGGGTGTCGGGGTGCAATGCACTGTGGGGATTTTCGTTTCCCTGACAGGGTCTCTCAAGCTGAGAACGAGTTCGGCGCTACTATCAGGAAGGGCAGCTAAGAATAAAGCAATAGCACGATCCGCCACACTCCTGGAATCAAACAAGTTACATGGTGGCAGGTGTCCCTCTGATTCATAACGTCGGCAACTGCCTGTGGTGGTGACGACCTGTGGCAGACTTTGGCCAAACTGATCTCGGGCCTCCAGGGAACCACAGTGAATAGACCAGCAGAACTCTGGAAAAACGGAAACTTTGCTGCAGCCCGCACAACCAGTGAAGACGGGCCATCCAAGTATCCAAACAAGAGAGTATTGATCATCTAATTACCATAGAGTTTTCGTCTTTTTGTAAATGTTATTGAAGTGTTTGGCCTAGTAGATTGTATATCCGTATACCCTTCCAGGCTCTGAAGAAGGCGATACTGCCGAAACGTCAGCTAGTGTTGTATTGTATTGTGTTTCTCTATGGAAATGTATGCTGTTTGAAAACCTCGCGATTGCTGAACAAAAAAACGACGCATTCATTTTCCAATGCCGAGGTTAATAGAAAGTCGATCCTGGGAAGTAATTAAGTTATATTTTTCTACTAGGCCACCTGCCATGGAACACGTTTTCCTGCTCATTTTTTATTGAACCGTGTTCGTCGCTTGAGATAAAGTTACGATCTTCAAACGGCAAGTATAGACGTCGAGAAAAAAAGAACCGTTAAAAAAGTCACTAGCGCAGCGACTGAATCCGTTTTATTCTTTATCGGTTTTTGAAATCCACAACCAGAGAACGCCCATCGACAGCGTTTGTTTTCTCACCACTCACCAATCGATGCCAATCGCGGAACAGGTCGACACTTGCTTGACCCCAACGGCGCGAACCATAACTCAGAATCTCATCGAAAACCTTCTTTTCTATTATTGATCTTTTTTTTGTGTTTTTTTTTGTTTGAGGACGTTTTTCATTTCTTTTTATTCTCTTTCCGTTATTTTTGATTCATTTCCTAAACGTGCGAAGTTATGAAATGCGTGAACACTCAGCATTCTGTGAATTTGTGCCTACTTGCTGAGAAGTGCTCAGTTGCTGTTCTGACGTTCCAAAGACTTTTAACTCATCACTTGTTTACTTACTATTTGTTTATCTAGTCATTAATTCTTTCTGTGCTCTGGCTGCCTTCTCGACGTAGGTTATGTGAACTAGTCAACGGGGAAATCATTTGATGTGACGATAACAATAACTGCCACGCAAGCAATTCGTTGCCTTTCGTGTCGGATTGGTTTTTTAGACCTAGAACTTGTTGTTTTCATTATTCTTCGGAATATTTGGTGGGAAATTATGGGACCGATAGCTTTTAGAAAACTTCGCTAATCGATAGTAATTTGGATCGGTGTAGATTTAAATCTCAGTTATTTCCTGAGAAGAATTCTCTTTTTCACATGCAGTATGGACTGTTGATCCGATTTTGTCGTTCTTCACCGTAGTATTCCCCTGAAGCACTGCTACTGTGCCCCGCAGCTCAGCCCCAGTGAATGAATCTTGCTTTGGTGAGGTAATAAGCAACTTCTAGAAGATTTGAAAAGAAAGAGACTCAGGCAATGTTTGATTCTATTATAAGCATAGGTAATGACTATTGAGATTGTATAAAGCAGTTATCGCTTTGATTGTGAGACCGTTCTGCTTGTTATAGCGTACTGAACTGTACGAGGAAATAAAGTGAATTTGATTCAATGCATCGTCTTCAAGCTGTTGGAGATCTAATCGCAAGATTCACTGCCATCACAGGAATTGCCGTCGTCTCGAAAGACCCCGACGCGCAGAACTACAGATTTCCCTCCAATCTACAAAGGTTGGAAAGTGCTTATTGTGGCAGCTTGCGAATCCTCCAGCACATAAGTTTACGTAAAAAAATATTATATTAGTCCAGCATTGAATGTGTTAATAAGAGAAGGTAACAGATTCTCAAGTTGCGCTCGAATCCACGCATGAGTTGGAGCAGCTGTATGGACTGGGTCTCACACGACGTATGAACATTTAAGTACCTGGCAAGAACACAAGTATACATAGCTCGTACATAAAAATAAGGTGTTGTAATAGCAAAAAAACTGAATTTTCTCAAAAGAACGATTAAGCCGGACTGCTTTCCACTGGTCCTATCGACCGCTCAGTTTCTCTGGGCTGGAAATGTCTGGAGTTTAGTTCGAAAGCTAATTTATAGGCAGTTTAAAAAATGACCAGCACATGAACACCATTTCCAAAAGCATCCCACAGCTGTTTTTTTTTCTAATATATTTCACCCAGAGAAATCGGCTCCGTTTCCTTTTTCAGCATTATCAAAAAGTCAAGGATAGTTCGGAACCAAAATATTGCACAGCCAACCAAGGAGCAATGTGTTGAAGTTCATCTTTACTTTAAAACGCGATTTACTAACCATTCGTTTCTTTTTTACTTGCGGTTGCTACCAAATGATTCAGCTACTTTTTTGAGTTTTGTTAAATTTGTTGAGTTCTTCGATGTTTTTTCAATAAGCAGACACGAGGCTGTTGTTATTAGAGTTGTCTGCATAGGTGTATAGGACTATTCTCGCCCATGTATTACTCTGTGAGGCTGGTATCCACCAACTAACCTAAACACTTACAACAAATAAACTGCTCCGAAGAAGGCGAAACCGCTGAGACGTCAGGTATTGTGCTCTAATAAACTCTATGACAACAACCTCATGTCTGCTTATTGAAGAAAAACATCGAATTATCAATGAATGCCGAGGTGAACAGAAAATTGGTCTTGGGAATTTGTTGAGTTAACTTATCCTTTAACATTTCCATTCTTTCAGTACTTTTGTTCTCTTACTGTTTATCTGTCGACTCTTTTCAAATATTCTTTAGCCGTTAGCTGTAATCTTGTGAATCATGGAGTGATTCAGGTAGGTACGCTGAGGGTAGTCTCCACTAGTTCGAGGGATACGAGTGGTGGTGCATCTACATTTGTATGAGAATGGCGTGAATACTCCTTAAACACATAAGGAAGGTGTGAGTCATTCCTATGAATCAGGCTATAGTTTTTTCTTTTGAGGGAGTTGTCTTTGATGTGCGTTTTATCCCTATCAGACCACTTCAAAACTGCGCTACCTATCCTCCCTGCTATCCCGCTCTACATAGGCTGTATTCTAATTTATAGCGATTTTAAGTCGTGCAGAAGAACATTTTGACTCTACACAACCACTTTCTCTGTCATTTATAAAGCTCTGTCAATTACCTCAGAGTCTTTGTCATTCTCATCCAGTTTTTCTGTTTTGTTTTCTTCTTACTTCTCAGTTGTTCTTATTTCTTTCCCTTTCCTTCGCGTGTTTCATCCTAGTTACACTAATCATAATAAAGATGGGTAGTTTCAAGATGGGAGTACATCTACTCACTCTCGTCAAACGATTGTTGATATGGTTTCTGCTACGACTACAGTGGATTGTCATCCTCTGCGTTGTGCTTCCGTTCAATTTCATTTGTGAGCAATTCCTTATCAACAAAAAGCGACTCGTATTTGCTATCGGAACGGCAAAAAGAGCTCATGGCCGGAAAGTGCTCGCAATTCAAAGACAGGTTGATGCTTCTCACTGTTTTCATTAGTTCAGATGATAAAAAGGTTATTAAATAAGCATTCTATAACAGAAAAGGAATGATAAAAAATTTTTATAATATGTTTACTTTTCTATTTGCTGCCTGCTACAGTTTTCACGGAGGGTACTGTGCCAAATCAACGACAACGATGCTGAGATATTCGCAAAAACTAGACCCCGGGCCAGATCGAACCACGAGGGGCTCGCGCATTACACACTGCGCCACGGAGTTCCTTGCTTTGAGTTTCTCTCAGCTAGTTTTGTATCCACCAATGCCGTCAGCAATCACCCGTCAAGGGGATTGATCTGGGGATCACAAATCCGCATTGAACTCAGTTAAGCTGTGACTGTAGTCGAAACCGCAATTTTTATTTTTTTTTAAAATAAACATTGTGATTTCGATTTCTTCGAATTAATTTATTTTAACATTTTTTTAAAGAATCAAACATTATGATTTCGACTACAGCCTCAGCTTAACTGGGTTCAATGCCGATTTGTGCTCTCCAGATCAATTCCGTTAACGGGTGATTGCTTACGGCACTGCTAGATAAAAGACTACCTGAGATAAACGCAGAGCGTGGGCCTCCGTGGTGCAGTATGTAATGCGCGACTACCCGGAAAGGGAAATCGTGGTTCGATCTAGCGCAGGATCAACGTCCTTCGAGTATCTCAGCATCGTTGTGGCTGATTTCTTATAATATGATTAGTCTTTTGATGTTTCTTCGTTTTAGAATAAGTCCTTATCAGCTATATACTTCCTTATCTTTTCTTTTCCTTTCTATTTTTCACTGTATCACCAGTGATCATAAGGTTAGATAGTTTCCACATGAGACCATAGGTTTACCTCTAATAGGTGGACTTATTTCTTCTCCTATAGTTTTTAAGGGAAATTGGAAATCTTAGCAAAAAATATCGAAATTTCTTTCGAAACTTCTTGATAGCTCTCTTCTAGGTCTGTGCTTCAATTTTGAATAGTTCGAGAGTCCCATAAAAAGTTAAGTATTCCATTCATATTTTTTGCTTTTAGTTTTTTTGGCTGGTACAAGACGTTCTTAGATAGCAGTGCTTTCAAAATTGAAAGTGTTTTGTTTGGTCTCAAAAGGCAGTACGATCTTACTAGTCGAAGTGGCTCAACAGCTTACTCCGTGCATGAATGTTTATAGAAAAAGCCTATATTTTCATCTTTTTTCATTCCTTTTTCGAACTATCTTTTCATTATTTTCTATACATATAAAGGTTCGCGAGTGGGCAACCAATGGAAAATCAACGATAATGTGTCCAGTTGAGAACGGACAGTGGCGTTCTCATCAAATACCGAAGGGGATCACACCCATCTACATCGGGAATCTCGTCCACATTCTAGAAGTGCGTAATTAAGGTACTCTTCTATATTCTTATGTTTAGTCCTGTCTTAAAGATTTACTTTAACATCGCTATATTGTTCACCAGTTCGTTTTTATTCAGCTTTAGAAATGTCTTTGAGTACGACTTCAATTAGGAAGGACAATTTAATTCATTGTATTTTTCCACTTGGTCATTTTTTATTTAGTTACATTCTTGTGGGCCATTTATCTCGCATTGGTGGTTTTCAGCCTCATGATTGGTAATCCTATGTGAAAAATCCTATGCAAAAATTCAACTAATACATTCAGAGACATAGTCAAGAGACACCGGAACCCTTTCAAACTGTTGCCGCTGTTTTGGTAGGGACCTGATTTCAAGATGACTAATGTGTCATTAATCCAAATTCGTCGACGATTGCTGGTTGTGGGAATCTTCTCTGGAAGTTAATGTCCGATTTCAATCTGCTTTTCCAAAGTTGCATATCTAAGCTCGGAATAACTTCATTAATCGAAACAGAAACCGTTAAATCCTACATATTTTTGCCAATGGCAAGCAAGTTTACAAGTTGCTTAATATTCTGACCTTCGGGAGGCGCTGAAGTTGTTAAGGACAATTTCTGCTTCGGCTTCGTTTCTGAAACTTAGGCGAGCATGAAGAATGAGTGAGGGTCATGTAGTCCAGCTCGTTCAACTTTTACAGCGTCGGTAGTGTTACCGTGCCCTATTCATGGAGAAGGATTGCTCCCTTTTGTTGGGCGATGGCCGACGATGCCGTTGAAGTTTCTGGTGCATTTTGTTTCCTTGCTGGACGTACGTTTCTTCTGCATTCGTTCCACTCGGATTGAGGAGACTATGATGGATTAAAGCAGCATCCAACCCACCAAACGGCTAGTATGACATTCTTTTTTGCACTTTGGTTTTATTATGTGCTAAAGATCTTCATTGCAATCTATCCATTGATCCGATCATCGGTCTCTACCATAGAGGATCCGTTATTGGTCGCACATCACAGTGTACTCTGGAAACGGATTGTTTCCATTACACAGAAGAAGCGCCAATGATATCTACCGATACCTACGAATGCAACGATTTTTCGTTGTCATTCAATTCGTGTGGTATCCAGCGTTCAGATTTCCTCGACCGTCTGGTTCCTCAAATTTTCCAGACTTTATACGTAATTTTTTCTATCGAGGCCTTCAATTCATCATCGTGAATAGCTGAAGAACTTAAGCGACATGCATCATCTTCAATGTGGAATTCGTCACGACGACATTTTCATGCCAACATTGCGCTACGTCTTCGTTAACATTTCCTTGACCTTATACCTCTTCAGTGTTTCGAGCCATTTGTTCTGCGTGCGTCCGTGTTTGAATTCGCAGAATCAGATCGAAATTGCTGTTTTGCTTTTGACTAACCTTTAATATTTGTGAGGATCAGACCAATTTATATGATAGTTCAATTATATGGAAAGTACTTGAATATGAATAAGCTTTGTATTACTATGTATTAGGTAAGTATTTAAGAGATTATTGCTGAAAAGCCTACAAGAAAGGAAGTTGGAAATCGGACATTAATTCCCGAGCAAACTTTATCTTGTCACACTAACAATCTGTCATTTAAGCGGAATTTTTGCTCAGAGTAAACCGACTCTTCTTAAAAATACGAAGCCAAAATAATCCATTTGGTAGGTATTTATTTTATGAGATTGTTTCCCATTCCGTTTAAAAGTATTAGGGGTGAAGAACTCAGTGGTGATGATACTGTCTATCACGATTGCGGTGCTTGTTTGGCACCACTCTAAGTGCACCGATCCTGTCATTTCTCCGTGGTCGGGAAATTGGTATCAGTGTTGTCTGCGAACAGTCCACTCTTGGAACTCCAAATAAGAACGCTCTACCATGGGTATCGCAGTCCAGGAGGAATCATCTGGATCAGCGTTCAGCGACATTCATGAGGAAGACTGCAGTCCTCAGCTATTATAACCCACCGACGGAAGCTTCGAAACCTTCGGGGATGTTGGTTGCGAGGAGGCAAGTAGAGTGCTGAAATGCGCACTGTGGATGTGAAGACGGGCCATGTAGAAAAAAAGTAGGGTTTCTATAACAGTTTCTTCAACTTCCTCGTTGTGAGTAGTGTCAAGTTAAGTGAAAGCGCTTCAGATGTTTTCAGTTTTTGTTTACAAGCTTAGTTTCTTTTGAGAACAACTTTCAGCATACTAAAATACTGTTGATTTCCGGCTTTCCTTAATTTCTTCAACTTTAGGTAAACAAAGAGGCATTAAGTGTACGTGTCGAGCCGATGGTGACAATGGAAGATTTGTCACGAACCCTGATACCACTTGGCTACTGCGTTCCGTTAGTCCCAGCAATAAAGGGTCTCACAGTACAAGGTAGATAGAGCTTTTACACCAGTACTCGTAATCGTATTGCCAAAGTTACGTTATTTGATTAAAAAGAATCAGTCTCGTATTCTTATTAGGGTGAGGAGAGTGAAAAGGGTGTACATTGAAAACTTTATGAAATTATTGTACTCTGCTTATTCAGGGAAGTAAAGTATGTTCCAATGTTCAGGACAAATAAGAGGTGAAAATAATAATAATAGTAACAATAATAAAAATAATAATAAAATAATAGCGAAGCGATTCAAAAGAACATAAAGCTGCTGAGCAAAGGAACTGGTTATCAACTATTTGGATTGTGCAAAATATCTATTAAGATGAGATACTTAGGCTTTTTAAAAATTTATTTCGTTGTCCTGGAATCCTTATTCCTGAAGGTGATCAGATTCATATGCAAACTCATCTTTCGGTTTGAAGATCTGTGCTCATTGCCTGTTGCCTGCATCCTAAACTTTGGCCGAATGTCTTTTCCAGGTTTTTACCAGAGGTAATCGCTATACCATATTGATCAGTGGAATGTTTGCCACCTAACTACTAGGATTGTTCCAGCACGGCGGTGGTTTGTCTGAGTAGTCTACCAATCGATCGAGGTCGATCTAAAGGGCTAAATGTGAGCTTAATATTATACGGGAGCAATCCTTTTTATGTACGATACAACATCAAATATTGTGCGAATCTCGGCACTTTCTGCATTTGATTCGTCTCTTCACATCCATCATCCACCAAGATCTTCGCATTTGCCTCTATGTTCGGTTGCTACTTCAGGATTTTTTATTCTTCATGACACCTTCATTTTCTAAATGGTATTTAATAAAGTAAAAGGGATCGAAAAGAAGAAGTCCAAAACTGCCTGTGTATTTTTTTTATTCATTGTTTTTCCATCACCTCTTTGTGACTAGTTGTTCGGCGGTATTGAAATGCGATGCATATCCTCTTCAGGATCACCTGAACTGAAGAGTTAGGGATTTTCATTTTTAACATCAACTAAAGGTAAACTTGCATTGCATCTATCAAAGCCTAAAGAGCAAGTGAGAGTGAAAGAGTCAGTAAGTGTTTTTGTCGGCAAAAACAATGAAAGTAAAGGGTGTCGAACTTCGTATTCCTTAAGAGAACTAAAGAGGAGCTTTTCGGCGCTATATACGCCTCCTATTTTTCGGCGCAGGAATAAATGTAGTTTTATGGTGACCACTTTAAATACTATCTAGTTAACTAGGATTGCAGTTCTAAGTTCTCCAGTGGCCCACAGTTTGTTTTTACCTAGAGTTGACCTCATAGGTCTCGTTTCTACCTCCTCTTCACAACTGTTCAGAAGAACAAATCAAGTGGTTTTTTTTTCGTGAAATCTTCTTTTCATCATTTTTTAAGTATCAAAATTCGTTTTATCCGTTTGCAATCTATAAGTCGATCCATATAGTAGACATGGAAATAGAGATGAAGTGTCATAAAATGTCACTTTCCTTTCCCACAGTATGATTGAGCGTTTGCAGAAGCTATCAATGGTGGTGGTGTGGGCACATCCGGAAGAAAGTACGGCATGTTCCAACATATTTGCTTATCCTATGAGCTTGTGATGCCTGATGGCAACGTAGTGACGGCATCTAAGGTGATTCGAGAGTATGTTTATAGATCAGTGTTTTTTAACACCATTTTTTGTTCGTTGCAAACTAAGGGCATGACGACGTGAAAAACCCTACTTGATCGCAGAAAATTCTGAGGTCTCCCAAGCTATATTGCCTTTCTTATGTATCTCCTTTTATATGCAACTTTAACTCTCGCTTTTCCCTTCATTTGCTCATTAGTGAACACGATATCAACACAAAAATCTAAGTATTTATGAAGGAACAAAAAAACTAGGTTATATACCTTTGATTATTAAGGTTGCGGTTTAAGATTATGACTCTTTGATCACTGACGAAGCTTAAAAAGTTAAGAAGTAAATTACATGACACAAGCACTGACCTGATTTCTGTGTTCAACAGAGCATTGAACACCTCTGTGGTATTTTTACATTGTTTAGCACTTATAGCTTTATTTTATTTCACCTTATGGCTAATTTAACTAATTTTATGGCTGCGAATACCATTCGCTGAAAGATCACGGCAGTTAATGGCGAGACTGTGTAGTGCGCCCACGGGTGGCGGGGAGGTAGTCAAGCGCAGGCCAAGCCAGGTGGTAAACTCCCTGTTTCTAGTGCACCAGTTTGGCACGTGTCTTCTGTTTTTACGTAAACATACTCATGTATGCGTGGGTTCTTGTGTTCTTGTTTACGCGAATTGCATTCTACAAGTCAGGCAAAAGCCTGCAATCAAATGACTGGGAAGTATGTGAGAGGTGGATGTGAGTCGCCTCCATTAAATAAACTTCTTTGCTTTGGTAGAGACTAGAAAGCTTCAAGTGAGCCTATCATACTAGAGAGTTCGGCAAACTATGCCTTTGATATAGAAAGTCAAACAAAGTGAAATAAATGGGCCTCATTCACTTTATGTCGAAAGCGCTCCCGATTAGGTAGCGTTTGATGAGCGAGTACGTAGAGCTGCTAATCTCGGAGCCATTCTAGGCTTACTAAATGAAATGTTTAGGGTGACGATTTCTAGCAGTTTATACTCACTTTTCATGAGGAGCTGATGCTTCAGACTAAAAGGATAAGGTACGACGTCGTCGTTGTGGTTGAGATCAGAAGAAACGTTGGTTTAGTCCCGCATATAATACCGGTGAAGAATTGTTCTTCGGAAGGTGCGACGATAGAAAATTCGACGAGTTTGAGGTCTTCGTCGGCAAGAATTTCGAACGCAAAGGACGATTTCATGAGCTGTGTGGAAACTTAACGATCGAAATATCACCATTCCTTGACGGTATTAGCATGGACCCAGAAGAAGGGGTTCGAAAAGAGGATGCGATCTCGTCAAAATTGTTGGTAGATGCTTTCGAGAACATCATGCGAAAATTGAGAGGAAAAAATATGGAAGTAGAATTGGATTGTCGGTAATTGCATGATCTTCAACTTGCTGGAGATATTGTTCTTACAACATCAAACACTAGGCAGGTGAAACGAAGCCAGACCGACTTCGAGAACGCTTGTAAAGCATTGGACTCTGACCTAATTTTACGAAAACAATGTTGTTGGAGAACGGATTTGTTTGGGATGTTCCATTAACGCTCAATGGAGTGGATATCTTGGAGTGCTCGAGCTACATCTATCTTCGTCGGTAAATTAACATGAGCTTTCAGTCAGGAGCATCGAGGATGTAGTGAGAAGAACAAAGAACTCCCAAATCCGTCCCACCTTTTCAACTCCACGACTTTTTCTTCCCTAACATATGCGTCACAAACCTAGTCGCCACTTATGGAAAATGGAAGGTCAGTCAGCGTTACTGAACCGGTGTCTAGTTGACGATGCTATGAGTACCTCGAATCATGCGAGTGAAAGAGGAAATCCAAAATTCCGCCTTACGTCGGCGATAAAAAGTTGAGACGTCCTTATATTCAAAATCAGGTACGCTGGGCAATTACTGCAACTAAATGACAGCCGATTAACAAAAAGAGTTAGCGAATGAATTCCTTCGATCTGGAAGGCTATCGATCTGATGGACAGAGTTTTTCAGGAAAACTGCGCAAGAAAGGTAGGATGTTCAATGAGTCTCTAAAATGAGGCGAATAAACTGGCATGCTCTTAAGCGCCACGGAGACCGATGGAGAATTTCTGGCCCTGGCTGTAGTATATCGACGATCAACGAGAAATCAGATGATGCATTTTTTTCGGAAGTTGCCTGCTATTTTTTATCCAATTGTAGTGAAACTTTTTTTCCTTCATAGGTCTCTGTTAAACTTTTTCATGCCACCACTGTTCGATAGCCACTTCATGGATTTAGGTCTCTCAAGTTAGCTTATCCCATTTCAAGACCATTATGTTTTTTGAGCAGTTAATAACTTGATTTGATATTCCGATTTTCGTTAACAACTGGGTTTCGCTTAAAAGCTAAAAGGTAACATTAACCTATGATCTTACTCCGATAAGTGAGTAATCGATTCCATAACGAATTGAATCGTTATCACGATGTGAACTTCTTTACTAGACGATTGCAGGAGAGGAATGGTAACGCTGAGATGCAAGCGCTGTACTATGGTGTGCCCTGGAGCAGAGGAGCACTGGGCATCCTGGTTGCGGTAACTCTTCGGATGATTCCCATCAAACCTTTCGTCAAACTCATGTACATCCCGGTTAATTCCTTTGAGGTACGGTATCATAATCGCACTACGACCCATTTGAACTATAACACAACTCTCGTCAACATTTTTGTTTTTGCCTTTGTTTTTCGCACAGCATACGGGAGAGTTAGAAAGTTTTGCAGGTTGGACATGGTATCGACTAATTTTAAGATAGTCAAGAAATAGTGCCCAAGTAGATGATTGCGAAAGTGATAAGCCTCGTCGAAAGCAAATAGCCAAACCTGTTAATTAATTGTTTCACTGTCGTATAAAGGGATGAAGGATAACGCATTCATAGTTAATCAATCTCTCAATGACTCGATTTTATCAAGCATCATAAAGGTGATTGAACGTATCTGCCCAAGCAATGACCTCCAATTACCTACCGGTGCATCAAGGCAGTGCTGTGCTCCTATTCTCCCAAACAACTCTGGTAGCAGTTTTCTGACCTTGAAGAGATGGAAAGCTTGATGAACGCAGAGTTGGAGCTAGCTACCTATCCTTTTTATATTATGACGCACCTCTATTCACAACATTAAAAGTGTCTCTTCTTCACCTTAGGAGTAGTTAACATCTATACTTTGACTCATTAGTATTTTTTAGACTAGCCTTAAGAGTTGTGGTAGATTGGTAGCTCTATTGCCTTCGTTTTTCCGTACAAGTGATTTCACTAATGTAGAAAACAGCCGGCAAACTGTCTTCCCATTCGATTCATTGGGTCAGAGAAAGTGATAGATTTTCAGTCGCGGCAATACGCTATTTCTTGATGGACACGCAGGAGGACGTTTTTATACAGTATGTTTTCATAATAACTAGGCCAAGACGAGCCATTGCAAATCCCGATATGCGTTCAGTCACCTCCAACGATGCTTAATCTAGTCGAATGCATGGCGCATCCCTAATAGATTGATCAACGCTGAGAGGTTTATCCTTTATTGTCCGCCTTAAAATACTAGTTCGAATTATTGCGTGAGATCTGGTGTGATAAAGAGACATTGCTGCGTGCTGTTAATTTTTGGGTTCTCCTAATTTGTCAAGAATTCCCCGTGGATTTTACGGTTGACGCTCTAAAGAGGTGTATGACTTCTACTTCAAAATCCTCCCAGTTGTGTCTCCGTGTCCTATGTGTTCGTAGTGTATTTCTGTATTTCGTTTAGCTTTACGTCTACAGTGTAGATGTTCTTTTGCACGAACATACGATGGTCTATGTCTATTGTTTCGCTAAAATACACGTCTCAGCACGCTTTACAAGAGAGTGGGTACACCGTACCGGAACTGGCGCAATCACAGTGTCTACCTTTAGCACAAATTATACGTCATACACACTCGGTCATACAAATGCTTGCTAATTAGCTGGCGTTTCATGGTGCTCGTTGGCTTTTCTGTCACTGCTCCGATTTCTATAGACTGGCTCTTAAAGCAGCGTTTACTGGTGCACTTATTTCGTTGGAAATGAAGGCAAGAAAAACGGGATCGTACTCTCACTAGAATTGTCGTTTGGTTTTTCTGTGCCTATCACAAGGAGTTACAATGTCGTAGCCACTGGAAGTGGATGTTTTTCTCGAAATTTCAGGGGTTCTTCTTTCTGTTTTCTTGCTGTCCACACACTGGTTGGTGATCGAAATATGTTTTTGAAAGGCGCTGTTTTTTGTATGCGAACTGTGAGAAGAGAAGTAGTGATCCAGTGTACTTTTGCTATTTTTTAGATAGGTTAATTTGAGCGTTCAAAAATAGGAGCCAGTTTCTTTTGGTTTGTCTCGGGTAAACCTAATGTGTTCTAACTGTTCGTCAAATAACTTAAGAAATTTGTCCATCTTTTTTGTGTGGAGTAGACGACAAAACAGTCATCTGTATATCCACAGTAGACTAGTTGATGTTTAGTAGCGTTGTTCGATTGTTTTTAACGTTACATACTGTTCTCTATTGTGCGGCGTTCTTTTATGAATTATCTTAATGCTTTGCTTTAGTACAGGACACAACTTTGCCCCTCTTCTCATACATTTCAGGATAATCTGTGAGAAATGTTCACTGTCTAAAATACTTTAGTTAATCTGTTTTTGCGTTTGTGAGTGAATCTCCACAAATAGCCGTAGATGGCGAATTTCGTAGGCTAATTCAAAAAAGAGAGGTCATGTTATTAGACTACAATGATTTTACTTTCAGGAGATGCAGTCTAGATTAATAAAAGAATGTATGTGTAGAGAGAACGAGTTCGTTGAAGGAATACAGTTCTCAAATTCCCTAGGAGTGGTGCTTCATGGAAAGTGAGATTTCAACTTAGAATTTTCACAAGAATCATGGCAGATCCAGTAAATTGTAGGTTCTGTGAAGGCCCACTTAGAAGTGAAAAGGCCAGCGTCAACGAAATCGGCCGTTGGTATAAGCCGTCTTTCTACACTCATTTGCAGAACATCGCCTCCTCAATTACGGTAGGCTCAGATTTTCCGATAGGTCAAGCGCCCTTCATTGATAACTGCGCATTGAGGTTCGGACACTTTTAGTGCTGAATACTGGTTTCTGCAATGTACGCTACAGCTAAGCATTTTATTCACGGAAAAAAATGAGTGTTGGTCTAGGATCCTCATTCTGTATCATGTAGTTCCGCAAATGGTTCTCTTCTCAAGAAGTCTGAAGCTTTTCAGTTCCAAGATTTCGATTTTTATTCGAAGATGGCAACTTGTAATTTGAAATTTTCTTCATGATCCCGTTATGTCCTATGGATGCCCATTGTGGGAATTTTGTTCAACCTTAGGTTTATTGTCTAGGTACTCTTTTATACGGGTCTTCTCATAGTTTTGCTTCTACGCTCGCCCTCATCCCTTTGCAAGGAATCGGATTCAGAGCAAACTATGTAATTTATCGTTCTGTATAGACGACCATACAACGATTGCGAATTAGCTTTCGTCTTGAAGTGTTCGGCGATCTTTCAACCATTTTTGCCGAATTCTGTAAACCGATCCTGCCCAAGCAACGTTTCCTATTTGCAGTTATTTAGTTGGAGACTAAGGGCGAGATAAACTGGACTTTGTTCCCAGTGGGGCCGGTATGAAGGAGTGGTTGGCTATGCCATCGATCAGGAAGCAATGGCGCTAATTCAACCTCTGCCTCAACGACCTCCTTCAATCCACTTGGGAACTCCTTAGCTCAGCCATCTCCAAGATCGCAAGGAGTATTGACTCGATCAGAATTTTGCGACATTTATAAAGAAAACGAAATGCTCAAACAGCAGCCGAAATGACACACGCAATAATCGAAGACCGTTGTGGACGATGAGTGCAAGGGAAACGAATCGAATGTACGAAGTGCTGCCATGGATACAGTAGATTTGATGAGGGGTCATGTAAAATAGGGTAAGAATTTGTAGATAGATAGTAGAAAGTTTTTCTGAACTAAAATTATCGCTTGGGGAAACGGTTTTTGTTTACTTCCATACCGAGGAGCTACTGTTCGAGAAATGGGGTGAATGAAAATAGCTGTTTGCCGTGCAATGTTGAGTAGTCTTTCTGCCTTCTTCTTATACATATATTGATAGTTTTTCGAAGCAATTTTTCACGGAGGCTCTTTTTTGTGTTGAAATGAAAGAACACATGATAAACTAGTTTCTATTTATTATTTTAGCTCGTTAGCACTATGTTGTAAGAGTTTTCGGAAGGGTTAACTTGATCGTCAGAAATTGGTGCTAGTTTTCTTTCGTTTTTTCTCGGTTGAAATTCGTATTCTTTGCTAGTTGGTTCAAATAATGATGATATTCTTCTTTGTTCTCCTATGTGGAACAGATGACGAAACAATTGCGGACGTATCTACAGTAAAGAGGTAATAAAGACTGATCCTAATTTAAGTATAAACGTCATGGCAAGACTATACCAGTCGCTACAACATCAGCTGCGCTACAATTTGTGTCAGAACTATGGCCATGGGTTGGTTAATCCACAGGCTGTACATGTTTATAGCTCCTTCTTGTTGCTCGATAATTTCGAGGATAGCTTGTTTGCGGAGGCATTTGGTGTTTTTATGCAAGTGGCGGTAACTTCGTGAGATGATTTGTGATGTTTTTCAGCAAGAGGGTAAATATCGGTGTTAAGAACCATGTTATTATAATCGATTACCGGTTTACACGAACGATGGTGGATCCAACCTTGAACGCTAGTTTTCGTATCTCTTGGAAGGCCTCCCAACCGTTTACTGCCCTACTACCTCATTGTGGCTGGGGAGGTGTTCCTGGGTTTCGGAATGCGATGTACAGCGGGGAGATTCGTCACCCCCGCAGAGTCTCCCAAGTTGTGAAGTAGTCAGGTGTCTCCATCAGGAAACGTAGGTAGGAAAAAACCAATGACAGGACCCACCACCGTCCTGGTATCAAAGTCGCATGGTGACAAATCTCTGTCTGATCCACAAGGACTGCAACTGTCTGTGGTGGTGATGACCTGGAACAGACTTTGGCTAGCCTGGCCTATACGGGCCGTCCAAGTGTCCAAGTGTTGAGGTTGACAAGAAGTCAGTAGTTGTAGTTAGTTTTGGAAAGCGTGTCAATATAGTGTTACCGAATCTCCGTATGCTAGAATCTGCAGAGATGTGGAAAAATTTCACTTGACTAATTTCAGGAGCATGCAGAACTTGTTCCTTTACAAGACTTTCACAATCGTCACTCGAGAAGCTTATTCTGGGAGGTAGAAGTTAGTCACGAGTGCAATGAATCCTTTTGACCTCTTCCAGGGCAGATACACTTATTTCAGGATTTGATCTCGTTTGGCAAATGTTTTCTGTTCCAGTGTCTTGTTGGACGGGTGGTTCCATCAAGTATTCAACTACTTGAGGTTCGTTAATTTTTAAATATGGCTACATAAAATTATATTATAATATAGAAGGCTCTATTTATTTATTTATTATTTATCCTGAAAACTTTTTAGACGTTCACTCCGAACATGGCGAAGTCATGGTCCTTAACCCATGTACACGAGGACCTTATCGTACCACTGGAGCACCTAAAAGAAGCTATGGATTTTTGCGACAAAGAATTCAAAGTTTGTTGGACTTTCAGTTAACGGATTCCTTAAATCAGCTCTGACGACGTTAGTGGCAGTCTTATATTTGTGGCCTACTGTAATTTTTTACGGCAGGGTATGTGAAATACAAATGCAGGGATGCTGAGACATTCGCAAAGCTTAGAGCCGGGGCCCGATCACACCACGATTACCGTTTCCGGGGCTCGCATATTACACTCTGAAACACGGAGGCCCTTGCTCCGTGTTTATCTCAGCTGGTTTTCTATCTAACGCTACCATCACCAATCTCTCGGCGGGATTGATCTGGGGAGCACAAATCGGCATCGGCGTCAACAGCAGTCTTGGTTATTTGGGCGTTTTTGGTTCTTTAAAGCTATTGGTTACACTATCAAAGTGATTAAGAAATGACAAGGAATGAAATTCAGAATTGTATGGAACTCAAAAAATCGCCGACGCAAGGTTGGTATAGATGTTCTTATTGTTGGTAGATTAACGTCCTTCGTGAGCAACAATCGGGTGGTCCAACGGCAAGGCTCTGAGGAAGGCGAAATGGCTGAAACGTCAGCCATTGAACAAAGATAACAACAACAATAAAAACATCTATACCAACCTCGCGTCGATTGAAAAAGACTGTTCGTAAGGAAATACGTACAGAATTTCATGTATTTAATGAGACAACTTTCGAAAAAGGTTAGAGTTTATTAAGTTAGATTAATTAATTCCAACATATAAAATTCATATGAATAAGAAGGCTTGAGAAGCCCAAGTAGCGCAGTGATTAGAGACGCTCTATGGCGCCAGAGCGAAACAAATCTGCCATCCCTCTATAGCCGGTACCTTAGAACTAGACTATTCTACATTTGTAAAACAATGACTTTATGCGTTGCTAGGCATATGTATGTATCTGTATGTTATTCACTAGGCCACCTATGCGCTGAGTAGCCTCAACAACTTAATGCACTAGAGCAATGCTAAGCGGTTTTCCGTTAACCTTTTAAGACTTTTTGGCATGAAAAGTTTAGATCTCTTTCGTAGTTAATATGGAAGTAACCAGTTTGATTTCCAGTTGTTGCATACTTTAAAACAGTATATTTTACTGACAGAAAGATTGTTGTTAAAGCAATAAGAAAGTCTTTTTTGAAGCTGTTTATGTTTCTTTTAATGCTTAAAAATTTTCCAAACTTCTGTAAAATTTCTTTCTGCAGATCTACCCACTTTGGATGTGCCCGTACAACCAACCGTCTTGTCCAGGCATATTTCGTCAACGATCGGGGAGAAATGTATTGTTCGTCAGTGTGGGTGTGCACGGTGGGGATGATCTTTGAAGTAAAAAGAGAGGTTCCTTGGTGGGATAAAAAGAACAAAAAGCGCTAACATACTTCCTATGGGCTCAAGTCCATTGGTTGTGATGCTGTTCAATACACAGACCACCCAAACGACCAGAGCACTGTTTCGACTCTTTTGCGAGTTCACAATGTATCTAATCGTTTCGGGGTCAGGAAATTGCTACGAGACTAGTCAGATATATTCACTTTCCCTAAGCCACGTAGAGGCACCTAATACCGCTATCTCAGGATCCTAAGAAAATCAAGTGAACCGTTATTCAACGACATTTATAACCTACTTGAATAATTGGATGACCCATCTTCACTGATCGTGTGGACAGCAGAAAAGTTCTCATTCGTTTCTTTTTCGCGAAATTATCGTCTATGCTGGCTGCCTGCCTCGAACACGGTGACTTCCGCGAGGTCCATTCCGTAGTCCTGAAATCGCTGATGGGTGACTTCACGAACACGCCTGCCTATCGTTTGGGTATTCTTAGAAGAAAATTTGCACTTGGAGACCACTCCATTGTTCTTTTCACCTATCTGTCATCTGTACTTCTTTTTATGTGAGTGACTCGCTGGTGATCTATATTCTTCTGGAACTCGAAGGTGGGAGAGGTTCCAAGGATCTAAAGTGCGCATTCAGCGTGAATGACGGTTAAATTCTAGAATACATCATTGAAACGCACTGTGGGTAATGAACAGTATTCTTTACATTTTTATAATATCAGCCCACGTCTCTACTGCACAACAGAGCGCTGCGATGACTGTTGAATCGAAAAGGTGAGCGTGGAGTTTTGGGTCCCTTATTTAGTCGGTGGCTTCTCTGAATTGCCCGAATACGGCCCATGCTGTTCTCCTGTTTTTGTATAATTCCTTGTTTATGTTGTTCTCCATGTTCACTGAATGTCTAAAGTACACGAACGAGGTAACTTCTGCAATCAGAGGATCATCCAGCTCACTTTGTTCACCGTCCCACCATATTCTCTTCATGAACTGGGTGTTGTCCCATTTATGCGCACCCTAACCTTTTTCACGCGTCGTTGAGTTCATTAAGCATCGTCTTTGTTTCAGTGGTACTCTTCGAGAAGATGACGACGTAAGTCGCAGAATTAAGATTTGATGGAAATTTTCCACCATTTCATATGCCGTTCTCGTCCCAATCGAGTGGCTTCATTATCCACTTCAATGCGGCAGTAAAGAGCTTTGGCGATATTGTGTCTCCTTGTTGAACCCCTTTTCTTACGGATATGATGAGGGGCGGTTAAAATAGCTGTTTTTACATTGCAGTTCTGATCACAGTCAGATGGAGTTCATATGTAGATGAGGCCTACTTTCCTTCATCGACGAGCGCTGATAGGATTGCATTCGTTTCGACACCGTCGAACGCTTGGCCGACAATAGTCAAAGCTAGGAGAAGGTGGTATTCCCAACAGACTTCAGTGGTCTTGGACACATTTTGGATGTGGTCAATGCAGCAAAATCCTTGTTGATATCTTGATCGCTCCACTGGCTGTGCCTTATCCAATGTCTTCGATATAGGATAATCTTTTTGAACGGTTTCGAGAGTTCATTCAACAAGCGTATTGGATGGTATTTGCAAAGATCCCTTTATTCACTACTTTTGTGTACGGTATCCATGCACGAGGTCCTCCACTGGTCTGGAATTTTCTCTTTTCGAACGTAAGAAGGCATGTGGCTTGCGAGAAGTACATTTAATTTGGCTGCCATATCAATGGAAATCGGTGGTAATATTGTCTGGTTCTAGAACTGTCTCTGTCTTCATGCTTTTTATCGCAACTCGAATTTCAGGGGGTAAAATCTCAGGCGACATTTCATCAGCAGCGATTAGGGGTTCTAGGCGGAAATTGTGGAACGGAAAAGATCTGTATAGAACTTCGTGTAATTAGTTCCATATTATGGTGAGATGTAACGATAGTGGCATCTTCTTAACCGTTTTATTTACTGCCTATTCTTTTTTAACGGCAGGGTATACATTGCGAAATATAACTCTAATGATGCTGAGATATTTGCAAAACTCCGGACCACAGGCGTCTGCGGTGGGGAACGAACGCGCTATTGTCCTTTCCGGTGATTGCTGATGGCAAAAGATCCTTATTCAATCCCACTGACGGGTGATTGCTGATGGTAAATGATCGATAGAACTAGCTGAGAGACAGGAGAAACGAAGGACCTGCATAGTGTGGTGGTGAACGCGTTATTTCCCGGAAAGGACAATAGCGCGTTCGTTTTCCACCGCAGACACCTGCGCTCCGGAGTTTTGCAATTATCTCAGCATCATTAAAGTCCCATCTTCGTTTATAGGACGTAACATTAAAGTCGCAGAGATTTCAACGGCACTTATTTAGTCTGGATTCTTTTTGATCTGCTTCCAATAACTTTTTTTCTGTTTTACCCACGTTAATCCTTCTGCAGAGATTTTCCACAACCGGCATTCATTATCTAATGTGCTAACTGTACTGCAGTAGGATCAAGCTTCAGTAACTCGCACGTCCGACTTTCTATTTACCTCGGCATTGATTGAATAATTCTTTCTACTTCTGTCCAGCAAACACGAAGTGTTATTTTGTTTCTTTATTTACGTACAAACTGAGTTTCAGCCGATTTCGCCTTCCTCAGAGGCTGGAAAGGTCAAGTTGACTACAATCTACAGGGCCAAACACCTCGATAACCAAACAGAGAAAATGCTGAACCAAAATTTCAATCACATTGAACACAGAGTCTTTGCACACTCACCGCTTTCTATGAGTCTTCCACTAAATGTGTTACGCGGCGACCAACCCCACAGAGTTCACACCGAATCGTATTGTGCCCATCTCATCAAAACAATGGGCTTATATACTGCCCAATATCACGCGTGATAATGAGGCATTCCTTCCTGCTGTTCATTTTCGGACTCTTGGAATTAATCCATAATGCCTGTAGAGTTTTGCGCGTTTGTGTTCTCGATTCTTGCGCGAAGATCGTAAACCCTACTTCAAAATCTTCTTCGTTATGTCTCTGCGTCCTATGTGTGCCAAGTAGAGTATTTGGTTTACGTCTGCCGACTAGGTGTTCTTTTGTACGTACGCAGAGTGGTGTACCTCTTTCGCCAACGTATTCGACCCCACACGCTTTAGAAGAGATCAGATAGACTGTACCCGAACTCATGCAATTACCATCTCAACCATTAGGGTAAATTATGCAATTTAGCGTTCCACATAAACGGATTTATAGGCGGTTAATGAAATTAAAATGCCACCGAGTAATCTAAGACGCCCAGCTAGTTGTTAACCGCCTATACGACCGTCTATGTGCAACGCAAAATTGCATAATTTGTCACAATGGTAGAGACGGTGACTGCATGAGTTCGGGTGCAGTCTATCTGATCTCTTGTAAAGCGTGCGGGGTCGAATACGTTGGCGAAACGGGTAGACCACTCTGCGTACGTGTGAAAGAACACCTAGTGGGCACACATAAACCAAATACTCTACTTGGCACACATAGGACGCAGAGACATAACGGAGAAGATTTCGAAGTAGGGTTTACGATCGTCGCGCAGGAATCGAGAACACAAGTGCGTAAAACTCTGGAGACATTGTGGATTAATTCCAAGAATCCGAAAATGAACCGCAGGGAGGAATGTCTCATTAGCACGTGTGATATTGGGCAGTACATAAGCCGGTTATTTTGATGAGATGGGCACAATACGATTCCATGTGAACTCTGTGGGGTTGGTCGCCGCGTAACACATTTAGTGGAGACTCATAGAAAGCGGTGAGTGTGCAAAAACTCTGTGTTCAATGTGATTGAAATTTTGGTTTAGCATTTTCTCTGTTTGGTTATGGAGGTGTTTGGCCCTGTAGATTGCAGTTAGCTTGACCTTTCCAGGCTCTGAGGAAGGCGAAATCCGCCGAAACGTTAGCTTGTACGTAAATAAAGAAACAAAATAACACTTCGTGTTTGCTGGACAGAAGTAGAAAGAATTATTCAACCTTCAGTGTCCTTCCGTGTTCCATGAAATCGTTAGTGATAATGCAGATGTGGCTTGAGCCTTTTTTTGGGGAAGTGAAGCGAGTTTAGCACAGGTTTGAATTCCTTTGACAGGCACATTGCAGTCCGTCCTCGGTTTTGCCTCTCTTTTCTTGCTAGTCATATAAGGAGAGGTTTTTATTGAGGATATCCTCCTTATGAATGACTTGCCTCATTCTTCTTGGACCATCACAGTTCTTTTCCAGCTTATTACTGAATCGAATCTCCGCACGAAGACGGTGATCAGATGTAGTACAGAGACCAGGTGCCACTTATTTGTCAAAGTGGCACAGTTTTCGTTTTCTGGGAGAACGATCGAACAATCGATCTCTGCATAAGTTCTGCCGTTAAGGGACTACCATATCCATCGGCGAATTTTTTTCTTCTGGAAAAATGAATCTTCATGGAAAGAGCGTACTACCGGCTGAAGTCCTACGAGGCGTTTCCATTCCCATTTTGTTTTCCTGCTCCAGATTTCCCTATCTTATATTCACTTTCGTTGACCGTTCCTAATTTTGCGTTGACGTCTGCAACAATGAATTTATATAAAGGCTTTTGGTTGCAGATTGCTTGTTGTAGAACGCGTTTAGTTGCCTTTCATGAGCTGTATATAATCATGAATAGCGGTGATGACACTCATTTTCGTTTGACGTGCAAGCTGGAGAATGGTCAAGTGCGGCGATAGGATGTCGTATGAGTAACTAGATGGGAAATAAATGGGTGTACGACAAAGCCGAGACCTTTGACATTTCGTAAGAGAAATTTACTTGCCTGAATACTTGGATGGTTCGTTCTCAATGGTTGTTTGGGCCCCAGCATGTTCTCTATTTTTCGGAGTTTGGCTGGTTTAGCCACTGTGTTTCGCTGGACTCCTGAAGTCAACCTTACCAAAGTTTGTCCGAGGTCGTCACCACCACAGCTAGTCGCCGCCTTTGTGTGTCAGAGGGAGATTTACCACCATACGATTAGTTTGATACCAAGACAATGATGGATACTGGTATTGGTTTACTCTTGGCTGAGTTTCCTGATGGAAACGCCACATATTCTCAGCTTGGGAGACTACTGGCGATATGAATTCTCCTCCTTTACATCGCAGCCGAACACTTAAGAGCGCCTCCTAGCCATATGAAGCAGTAGTGCTTTGAGAAGGGACATTTATAAATAAAAGAAAATCTTCTAACGGCAGCTAAGCTCACACGCAAGAGAAGTTCAAGAAGTTTCAGAACTTTCGTGGGTGGTGAATGCGAGAGAGCGAATTGAATACGAAAACAGCTGAGATACACGCAGCGTCGTAGTCGTGATGTAGGTTCATGTAATGAATAAATGAATGAAGTGGTTTCAGTACATGGGTGCTTGACTGATTATTATTGGATGGCATCAACTGTTGAAGAAATTTTGTCCTCTATTATGCTATGGTTTAAGAGCAATTTACTTACAGGGAATGTTCGAAGGGATCGGTTTGATCCAAAAGACAGCATCAAACGACTAGAAGAATTCGTAATATCGGTGAAAGGGTGAGTGGAATGACGTTTAAGGATACTGCAGTTTGTACAAAATTATTGTTAAGCTTAGTGGTAGTCAGAAAGGAAATTATACCGCGAAAGAGGGCTATTCAGTGATAGAGGAAGTGGTCAAACACACGAACAAAAAAAAAGTGAGCACTTGAGAAGTACCGTCTGCTTATGGTATTAGTAACATTCTTAACCTGAATTAGAGATATTGTAATCGTCCTGCGCACGTCTCGATGCAAATGCTCTCAGTCGCTTCTCAGCACATGTCGTTCTCCTACCTTTCAAAGAGAAAACGTTGATTTGGTTACTCTCCAAACTATTCCACATGCCAAAAAATGCAGTCGATTATCTCGTTGGTGCTTCATGAAGGTGAATATGGCATTCGTTACGGAGGGGTCTGTGATGAACTATTTATGACTCTTCGCTGTAGTAGACCAAAACGTACCATATGGTTTCCTTTCAGTGTGAAGATGGTGCACGGAGATATGCGGATGAGTCGTGCGGAATTCTGGCAGATGTTCGACTCGTCGCTCTACGAGTGGATTCGAGTCAAATATAATTGCAAGGAGGCGTTTCTGGATGTCTATGACAAGATCTGCATGTCCATCAACGGCTGATGCAGTGGCCATTGCGTAGCAGCAATAATAAATAGCAAAGCACTAGTGAATGCTGCTGTAATTTTCTTTTTTTCCTCGCTGACAGTTAATCATTAGCAACCTTTACTGCTTCATCTGAAAGCAAATTCGACATTTTGTTGCAGACGATAGGTCTTTCTTTTCTGTTTTTGCGTTATCAAATGACTCTTTGATTTTCTGAAAAGCTGAAGGTGCGGTTTTGCAGCAGAAACCGATGTCAATTTCAGTTTTGAACCTAAAAGAAGGTGTTTCGCAAGTGTTCCGTTTAGAAAGAAATGAAGCACTTAAACAAGTGGTAGATTTCCAGGTTACATCATCTAATATTATAGGGAGCACTTGTTGAATTTCCAGTAGTTGTAAGCAATACCGTAAATTGTGCTACTGTTTCAAAGATTTTTTCCATAAGACAGAACTGATAGAGAGACATGCAGATAGCTCAGTAACAATAATCGATCGTAGTGAGGAAACCGTATTGTGGATTTTCGAAGCAGTGAATTACTATAAAAGTTCAGGAATTCCTATGTGAGGATGGCGACTATGATTTCACAATGTCCTACGGTGTTCTTTAGTGCCCTGTGCGTGCCTAGTGTAGTAGTTGTTTGACTTAAGCTTATCGCGTTGATCTTCTTTTGTACAGTCATAAAGGCTGCACCTATTTATCCACTATATTGTTGCTCACCTGATCCCTAGGTCAGCTCTCTTTAAGCGTTGCTTTATAGCCGTGTTTAATTCATTCGAAATCAAGGGCGGGTTAAACGTGGGCTTTTTTCGTCAAAATTGTCGTTTTGTGATAAGTCCGTTTCTCTAGACCTATTAAGAGAAGCCATGGCTTCTAGCCAACGAATTCTTTGACATTATTTGTTCTAGCTGTGCATACGCTTTCCTTGAAATCAGCCTTGCTTTCATCGGAAAGGAAATATACCGAAAACCTAAGTGATGTGCGATATTTTCGTTGTAGTATGAGTATTTTCATACTTTCCACCTTGAAACTATAAAGCAAACATTACATATTGGAAAATGGCCTGTAGAATGAGCCGTCAAAAAATGATTGCGATTATAGCATCGGAAAGGCCGGTGGCATGACCATGCCGTTAATGATAAAAGGTTGAAGCTCTCGGCAGTGAACAATCTCTTTAGGGATGCGCCATGCATTCGACTTCATCAAGTATCGTTGGAGGTGATGGAATGAATATCTGGCCTTTACAATGACTTGCAGCGGCCTATCGATGTATCGAGCTAATGTTGATGTCCTAGCAGACAAGTCTGGTACCAATTTGCCGACCCCGGATGGATGGAGAGTTTGGTGGACCATGGGCGCGTGGATCTACTATGCGTAGGTTTGGCAGTGGCGCCTCAAACCACTGCGCCACACGCTTCATTTAGTATCTGTCACTCTGCTGTCAGAGGACATCACACACCTGATGTTCAGAGTTTTGGCAAACTGGTAAAACTTATATGGATGTTTTCATGCGAATTATTTGAAGCCGTACAAAGCGTATTAAAGTCGGAATGTCGCCTAATTTTTCAAAAATTGGACCGCTCATTGAACGCGCCTGATGTCTCGGATATACTGCTTACATTACAACACGCATTACAAACACAAAGGTCTTTTAACATTCCCACGAGTGCTACATTTTCCAGAACTGCTAGTTTAAAACGAATTTCTTCGCATCGTCGTCTCCATTGTGGTCGCCCTTGGCACTGAATGTTGCAGCATGGTTAGGAATATATTGTTATCTGAGACAAGCGAAACGAAGGACCTGCATGGTGTGGCGGTGAGCGCGTTACTCCCCGGAAAGGACAATAGCGCGTTCGTTCCCCACCATAGACACCTGCGGTCCAGAGTTTTGCAAATATCTCAACAACGTTGTGGTTGTATTTCGATTAGTACCCTGCGGTGAAAATTGCAGTAGGCAGAAAATGAAAGGTAAAACATTGTGATTTTAACTACAGATTCATCTTAACTGGGTTCAATGCCGATGTGGACTTCTCAGATCAATCCCGTTGACGAGCGATCGCTGATGGCTCTGGTCGATAGAATTAACTGAGAGACAGGCGAAACGAAGGACCCCCATGGCGTAGTTGTGAACGCCTTAGCCACTGGAAAGAGTAAAGAGAATTTTCCCACCGAAGGCACCTGTGATCCGGAGTTTTGCGAATATCTCAGCATCATTGTGGTTGCTCCACACATAATACCATAACGTGAAACATAATAATAGGCAGCAAATATAAAAGCTAACATTATCATTAGTAATATTTCGAAACCGACCTTCCTTGAACCTCGGTATCACTAATCAATGTGTATTCTTTTGATGAGCTTACACGAGGTTGATAATGATGTTTATTTTCGGCTAGCGTTTCGACGTCTTCGCCTTCCTCAGAGCCAATGATCCGAGTCGGTGGTCCTCGCTTGTTATTCGTCTCGACGTGGCAGCTTCGCCTTCGTGTCGACTCAGGTCTTCTTCAGTGAGCCATCTCCCCGAATGAGGCATCCTTACTCAGTGATGTTCTTTTATACACGATGCTGATGGTGGATATAATGATAATGTCCGGTGATAACAACTTGTTTTTCTAACAAAAACATAAAACATAACAAAAACAAAACGAACATAAAACAAAAACAAGTTTCAACAAACAACAAACCATAAACATCGTCTATTAAAGGGCATCACTGAGCAAGGATGCCTCATTCGAGGAGATGGCTCACTGAAGAAGACTCGACACGAAGGCGAAGCTGCCACGTGGAGACGAATAACAAGCGAGGGCCATCGACTCGGATCATCGGCTCTGAGGAACACGAAGACGTCGCAACGTTAGCCGAAAATAAACATCATTATCAACCTCGTGTAAGCTCATCAAAGAAAGAATACATATTATCGTTATTATTTTATCCCTCTACAATATCCATCAATGTTTAACATTTCTAAAATTATTCTCAGTGGACAATCGTGAAACTCGTTCGGTGATTCACAAAGTTTTTGACTTAGCAGATGACCAGTGCTTTGTTACGTTTTCTAGAGCCTTAGCGGTTGACTTCTAAAAAAGAAAGTTGGAAAATTTTTATACCGAATTTCAGTCACCGTGCGCGCTGCGTTATTGTAGTGGCCAAAATATGTGAGGCTTCCAATCGATTCGAAGCGTCATTACGTATTTCGTCGTCATTGCATTGCTTTTATGATAATTTTCTATTACATCTAAATAAAGGTGAATAAGCCGTACGTTATTGTTCTAATGAATTCCTGAGCAGTGGAGAATCTGGCCGCAAGGGCTGTGCTCGCACGTTCCGTACACTATCGTAATCAGATAGCGAAGGTAATTGTAGAAATATATTCCGCTGCTTCCAACTTTTCAGTTAAGCAGTAAAACAAATGCTTATTTTAAAACCCACCACAGGCACAGCGTTTGTTTCAAATCTATTTCTGTGCTCAAGGAACAAGTTGTTTTTCACGTACTGTTGGTCGTTTTTGATTCCTAGTACTAGCAGCGGTGCGTCATTGAAATGTTATCGTAGACGTCCTAATAAAAGAAACTTCAATCAAAGATTTGTAGTGGAACATAGCGAAAGAATTTCAAGATTTTTAAGATCGTGCTTTCTAGAGAAGGTCAGCATTATCCAGGATTTTGGAAGGCCGAGCATTAGGCACTCTGGACGAAACGCTGACGAAAAAGCACTGTGCGGAAGAGTAAGCCCGGAAAAAGCGTGCACATTGAGATCAAGTTGTCGTCAAAGGGTTAAAAGTGTGTTATATCCTTGACGGATAGATCAATGCCGAGCTATTTGCTTCTCTTCTTTGCTTCAGTAGAGGTGTATATAAAATATTTCATAAAGTTAAATTCTAGTCGATGTTCGAGTCGTCGTTCTACGAATGGATCCCCGTTACGTAGAATTGCAGGGAGGTCTTTCGGGATATATATGACCAAATCTGCAAAGGAGGTCAATGGCTGGTGATGAAGAGGTTAATGCATATTCATAAACATTAATAGCAAGAAATGAATAAGTTGTACAACTTTTTTTTGAACTCCTAAGAATTAATAAAGAACAGCATGTATGTCTTCATTTAAGAGTAAACCAAGTAGTTTCGCTCGTATAGAATTTCCTCCGCTTCCACGTTATCAGGTGATTCGCGATTTTTCTAAACAAGTAAATGAATGGCTTCATATTAAATTTTATCGTTTCGTTTAAAAAATGTGGTTTAGGAGGAGAGAGTGATAGAGTAGTAAATGACAACTTTTCATACTGTGTTTAACCCTTCCAGAATATTTGAGTGTTTGCAAGCCATGTCGTGAAGATGTGATGCTGTTTTGTAGAAATAATAAGAGCAGCAACCGGTTTCTTATTCAGGATAGTTGGTTACAGTAAGCAAACAGTAATGGATTGTTGAGGAAATGAAATATCGTGAACGCTAGGAATTTCTGTCTCGGGATCGTGACATTGATTTCATCATCTCCTCCTGTTTACTTTTTTGTTCTCTGTGTGCTTGGTGGAGTATTTTGCCTGAATCTAAATTTCCCACCTTCGCATGTTTTCATGGAGGCACGAAGTAGCAACCTATTTAGCGACTGTTTTCAATCTCACACCTGTTTAGAAGATATCAGGCAAATCGTAACCAAACTCTTAAAAACCTATTCTCTTCCGTTATGACAAATTGTGCAATTTTGCAATGTACATGGTCGGTCATTCAATCCGCCGCAAGGTAATGGTTGCTGTGAAGTGTTTGGTGATAATTCGTTATTTTCTTGATTAGAAAATGCGAGGTTGTTACTGCAGCAGTTATTCATTCACAATACCTGACCTTTCAGCTACTTCGCGTTCTTCAGAGCCTAAAATGGTCAAATTGTGAAAAAATTGTGTATCGGATTTTTCCCTAAGAACTTATGAAAGTGTTTAGTTGAATAAAAGCCGTCTACTATTTTGATCCTTAGGTCGGTTTTTATACCCGTTTTTTCAGACTAAGAGTAACCGACCTTTTCTTCAATTATCA